TTTATGTAATCTTTTTTCGGTCATTGGGCTACCTCTAATGTATCCGTAAACTCTGTATAACCTAACGAAATGTGTGTCAACATTAATAACTTCTTTATCTAATTATCGTCACAATATATGGAAACAACCTTTGACGTGTCTCTTTTTCTTGGAATTTCGACTGAAGTTTATCCAGGGGCGATCACTGGTCATCACATGTGATACTGCCCCAATTAGATTTAAATTTATTAATATTTGATATGATAAATTGTATATAAACGATTTAAAACACTCAGGACTGATTCAGACATCTACTAGAAGTATGTTGAAAAGATACCGCGGAGTTATCAATTAAAATGTATTTTTTAAGGATTTAAAACAAATCATGAAATTCAGTTAGCCTGACTTAATTTGTGAATAAAAACAGCGAGTACTGTTTTTTTTATACCAGAACTGAAGTATTCGGTTGAAAAAGTGTGTATTTTGACATACTCTTTGGAGCACTATTCCGGGCACAAGCGGGCACCTGATAAAACCAAACACCTCCTGTAGGAATCTAAACCTTTGACAGGTTAGAGTTTACAATGGTGAGGGGCGCGCAATTCAAGGCCAGTGATCTGAAGCACTCGGTAATGGAGCCCGACCCCCATAACCCCCGATCGACCACAACTGTTAAATTATTATCATTATTACACGGAGAATGATGATTAAGTCTTTGAAAAAAATAATGCACATGTTTTTTAACAAAATTTTCGACAGGTTAAGATGATTCCATGTAAGCTCACATGTAAATAGGTAAGTAGGCGTAGATCATTGAAATCATTGATATTTACCAAAATAAATAAATAAATAAAAAAAAATAAAAAAATGAATTATCTGAAAGAAAGCAAATTTTATTTGATAAAAAAAACTTACTTGTTTTGTTAAAACAGTCCATTTACATTAAGCATAGAATAAAACAAAGTCCAGTTTCCTTCCGAAATAACCGCATTGTTCGGTAGTAGTTAAACACAGTCACAGTCCAGCTTTGAGGCTCTTCTCCACTTATAATTTGCACTTTAAAACTCTGATTACAACACATCGAAAATAGCAAAAATTTTCAAAACTTTATAATTTTTCAATTCATATTTTTCATGCTGCCTGGCTTTGATGGGCACATATAATTATGTATCCATTTCTAAACCTTCATTGTTATAAACTCACTTCTCTATATCCATACACATAAATACTTTACTGTCTTTAAGTTGTCCTTTTGTCATATAGGATAATTATTATCATTTTCGGTGCATATTTTCCATTCATCAAAAACGTCAGGTACGTGCCATAGAATATAACAACATATTTATCACTGGCTAATGTAGCATGCATAAATCTTGCATAAATCTTGCATAAATCCGCAACTGCACATACATAGAATTACTGTCCTTAAAGGTGAGCAATCAATATTTAATGTCTTTTTCCCCCAAATATATCAATACGCTAGGAATATATCTTGAATTAAATATGATCATATATAAGTAATACATACGACAAAATATAGTTTGTTAGGCAAAAGAACTGTACAGTTTCTAGTGTTTAAATCAACAGTGTAACGTAAGGTTTTAAGTACGCGACAAGATTAGATAAGGTTGCATTTGATCAGCATACTGGACACCTGACCACAGACACTTTGGGTGTGGAGCTCAAAAACGCCTTATAAATCCAAATAAAATGCATATTTGTCAATCCCAGCACATGTACTGATCACATATATCAAAAAAACTTAATATAAGCCGTTTTGAATAAATAATCATATTTCAACGTCTATAAGTGTATTATTATAGACGTTGAAATACATTTTTTTTTTCAAAACGGCTTATGATATATATGATCAGTACATGTGCTGGGATTGACAAATATGCATTCTATTTTTGATTTTTAAGGCGTTTTGAGCTCCACACCCCAAGTGTGTGTGCACCTGACCACCATAATACTCAGATATATTTTTTTTTTTATTTGAGATGTCAAATGTCCGGATCCTTTCTGTTTCTACTATTCCTTTGGCAAACAGGACCAGTGAAATCATGGTGCCTTAATATTCTTTTCAGTTACGTATTATGAACCAAAATATAGTAAGATCTTTATATATCATTTAATTATAGGATGACGTGCGTGGGGTTAATTGACTAAACAAAAGATATTACTATACATGTAGATCGATTAGCTAATATCATCAAGTGACTAGTTAATGATTAATGAGAAGACATACATCTGAGGTACATATTTTAAAAATAAGTACTCCAAATACTTTTTTTTGCAATTCTCGTAAATGACGAAGTTTATACGAAAAATTTAGCAAAATCCCTTTAACATGGAAAATTTTATAATATTGTACGTTTTAATTTTATCCTGTTGAATATTTCCTTGTCAAAATTCGTTGATATACATGGGTAAAGCTTAACTGTTCCTATATATCGATCGCATAGCCTTGCCGATTTTGCGACTCTGTAAAAATGGTATTGCACGGCCGTGCATATATTTAAACGTGACGTCATGTGTAAAAACGTGTTAAATGTAAGCGTTTCACTACAGGCGCGTGAATAATGATTCTTTTGCACTTTAAACAGTCTTGGATTTGGGTATGTGATACGTAGAATATATTCGTGTAGGTTCATGAGTGAATTTGTTGAACTCGATGAATAAAGCCAGAGGCTCGCATAATATATTATATTCAACTCGTTCATTAAATTCAGTATTGAACCTACAGTCACTCAATATCTTTTATATCTGGGTAAGGCTAAACTGTTACTTTATATATTTGGGTAAAGCTGAACTATTACTATATATATCTGATTGTACAGTTATAATGGACGGGCTTATATTATGATAAAGTTTTTTGTTTCTAACATATTTAAAACAAGAAATAATTGGACTGACTACCTTTAGTCTTTTTCCTGAATTAAGTTTATGGAAATGAATTTTCATTAAAATAAAGAAACAAATCTGTTATTGTCGCTTCATTTTTTGTTGGGAAAACAAGTTTGTGTTGTTTTAAACCTAGTATTTCAGTAATTTTATCTCGGAAAAGTGCATCTTATCACTTTTAAAAGCTATTTATAACGCGTCACTGACGTTCGCGCCTAAAAATAGAAAACCGAACACGAATCGTCCGCTTTACCCGTAGTTGGGTTTTCTTATTGTTTCTTATTGTTTATGTATTCTATCGTCGGCATATTTTATTTTCCATCTTAATTCTATGAAAGAAACTAATATAATATATTTAGTCGTGAGAAAAACTAAGGGCTGCTTTAAGTTAAAAATAATATTATAACCAAAATATGTTAATAATTAAATATACAATGTAAATACAATGCATTTCTTAAATACATGTACTGTTTAAAATCAATGCTTAAATTATTTCATTTTTTTATTTTGATATCTAGAATACCATATCTTAATTAAAGGAGTAGTGTTTGTGTATGTGTTTTCTTTGATTTTTTGTTCGTCAGATGACTATAATTCAAGTATTGTACAAGTACAACGTACCAAAAATGCCCTTGTAAATTTTGGGCTATTTCTTCAGGTTCTATTCTGTCCCATAAATAATGATTGTTATAGTAACACGGATGTAATATAATAAACTTGAAATGTTTACGTATGGCGTCGATGCCCTTGCTATGACTTGTGACATACACTCAGATTTTTTTGTATCTGTAACGCCACTATAATTATAAAGTAATGACAAATAATTTATCATCGGTGCATTACTGGGTCTTTCAAAATTCTGTTTAAAAAGACCGTAGTGCACAGAAAAGTTGAAAGTTACCGAAAACCGGAAGATACTGAAATACATTGTATAATAATTTGATCTTGCGCAAGACAAATCGTCTTCTTATTGCGATCATGCATGCAAAAGTGATGGACTGGACACGAAATTCCAGCTGTAATTAGGACTATATGACAAGTACATTAAGGTCACCCTTTTACTGTGACCTTGACCTGTGAACTAGTTGCCTGGTGCTCAATTTTTTTTACATTAACAAAAAAGATTAAAACAACAACAACAACCCCCCCCCCGCCAAAAAAAAAAAAAAAAACACGACAAAAAAACGACCCTATCAAAACGTAAACATTATCAGGACCTCACTTGTACATTTTGTACAGCTATGTAACCCGATGACCGGCCTTGTTATAATCATACTTTCACTTAACAATAATGACAGTGTCTCGACAGTTAAATAAATTGTCTTGGCGATGCCTACAATAAACCTAGCCAATTTTAATGGATACTGGTACATGTACACTTCAAATTATACTTCACCTTTAGGTATTTTTCACATCGTTTAAATTCGGCATATTCCGTCAACCTCATTTGCTGATACAATGTATTTTAAAGGCGTTTAATTTTGAATACTTAAAATCAACTTAAATCATGCAGTCACTTGCGGAGAAACCGGTGATAACTGGTAAGTTATCCAGGAAAGTCAGGTAGGTGGATTGAAAGCCGAGATATGACCAAAAATATGTTGAAATCGGGGTAAAAAAAACCCATACAAAACAGACCCTCTAACATTGTTTTCTATCTGAACAAAACCATATCTCATTTTAATGGGGATTTCCATAATAAGTATTGCCTTAATAGCGAACAGTGCAGGCCATGATCATACGGCACGGTAGAATATGAGCACCGCACTAAATACCGTATTCCGGTATATACCGGACAATGCGTGCTAAAATCACGCATTTTCACTCGATGGAATGAACTTTAAAACGTCTTATTCATCTCTACACATCCATTTATATAAGAAAATGAATGAAAAATGTAAGAATCGGCAAAGAAAAAACGATATTTGTCTATTTTGTGTTTATGATTTCTGCAAGCGTCTAGAGGTACTGCTCCAATCCTGTCTTGATTAATTGTCAGAGATAAACGCTGTAAGAGACTGTTTGCCAGATTTATCAAATTTACGCCTTCTCATTGGACGATAATGTAAGACAAAGACTTAAGTAGGTATTTTACTTAAGACATTTCATATAGGATTTTCATTTTATTTTTCAAGAAAGAAAATAAATTACACATTCAACAGCACACGTTAACAATGAATTAAAAATGTAATATAATTTACACTGACACTAATATGTGTATCTACAAACATATCCGACACAATTCAGCAAGGGTTTACTTTAACTATCATAACATTTAAGTGATAAAAAAATTGAAACTGGAATCGAAATATCCGATATGAAAATCATCAAAATTATGTGTAAGAACATATCTAAACAATGTCTTATATGATACAATTTTATATACAAAACTATAAGAATGATGCTTTGAAATACGGTTTTTCAAAACACGGAACACATCTAATGTTGACTTTTATCTATTACCCCATCATGCCGAGAATCTGGGCTGGATCAATACCTGAAGATGCCATCAAGCCCTCTGCTTGCTTTGCCATACCTTGCAGTTCATTCATATCCATTTTGCCCATCAGTCCCATTATGTCCGCAGGATTTCCATTGCCAGACATCATCCCTTCCATAGCCTTCATCAGATCCCCACCTCCAGGTCCACTAAGCATCCCCGTTACTGATTTCATTAAATCCTGTCCTTGCTCACCGTTTAACATCCCCTGCATGGCGTTCATATCAACATTTCCAAGCAACTTAGACATATCCATTCCGCCACCACCACCGCCATTCCCACCTCCTAACATGCTACCCATCAGACTTCCAATATCGGGTCCACCTCCTCCTCCTCCTCCACCCATCAAACTTGCAAGTGGATTACCACCGCCGCCTCCGCCGCCACCACCTCCTCCAAGCATGTTACCCATGAGACTACCCAAACCTCCACCACCTCCCCCACCTCCACCTCCAAACATACTGGTCAAACTTCCACCACTGCCAGAATCAGCTGGATTAGCCATAGCGTTACCATTAGCATTATTTGACATTCCTGCAGGAACTGAACCGCCCGAAGCACCCTGATTTGAGCCTCCAAATTGTCCAAACGTTGATGACCCTCCTGTTTGCGGTCTTTGAGGACCTTGACCGCCACCCATGCCGGAATTCAAAGAATTTGCACCTTGATTTGGCATACTGTTAAAAGCATTATTAGCAGCACCTATTCCAGCGTTCCCTTGTCCTGCCTGTCCGGAATTCAAAAATCCATTACTTGCGCTGCCAGGCAACAAACCATTCGTTAAACCTGTGTTTTGTAAACCATTATTCTGGGATTGAAGAAAATTGTTCTGGCCAGCATTTTGGCCAAACCTATCAGCTGGATTAATGCCATTATTCATTGGTATTTGGCCGTTAGATCTGTTAACCCTGTTAAATGTGTTTCCACTTGTCGCTCCGAACTGACCCTGACCTTGTGCGGCATTGAGCATGTTCGTTTGGAATTGCTGATTTTGTTGCATAAGCATTTGATTTTGTTGCAGCAGCTGTTGAAGCAATAGATCATTATTAGAGGATGACTGGGGCTTTTGTTCAACCTTAGGAGGTCCGACTGGCTCAAATGTTGATAAAGTAGATCCTATCCCACCAAGGCCACTTGATAAACCATTCTGTCCCGATAAACCTAGAAGCTGTGCACTCGTTTTCTGTCCAAATGAAAGAGGAATGTTACCAAATCCACCCATTTGACTAGTGATGCTTGCTCCTCCTACCTGTGCCTTTAGGGCCTCAATTTGAAGTCTTTGTGCCTCTAAGAGTTGTATGATTTGCTGTATGTCTTTACTATTGCTTGCTGCAGGTGCGGTTGTTGGTGGCCAGGCTGGCGGTTGTGTTGGTCCAAATCCAAGCCCTTGAGGTGGTCTTCCAAACTGACCAGGCGCACCTCCAAATTGGCCTTGTTGACCAGGTGGCATTCCAAATTGCCCTCCTTGTCCTTGTGGTGGCATTCCGAATTGACCTCCTTGTCCTGGGGGCATTCCAAATTGTCCTGGACTGCCACCTGGCATCCCGAATTGTCCTCCAGGCCTTCCGAACTGACCCTGGTTGTCCTGCTCCAAACGGCATTTGTTGTTGTTGGTTTCTTCTTTTTTCCAAACATACTAAAAGCAATCGGGGCCATAGCAAGCACAGGCGCAAAACCTCCAATCTTGGACAGTATTCCTCCTCCAGCTTTTGCAGCAGAAACTCCCGCAATAGGATTTGCTTCGGCAGGGATAACAGTTGGTGTATTACCCATCCCGATTGAAGGGTCAACTCCTAGAAGATCAGCTAAAGATGGTTCTCTGTTACTGTTAGGATTTACAGGTCCTCCTACGGGCATAGGTGCAACGTTGCTTGCAGTATTTTTATTTCCAAATCCAAGCAAGGATGAAAGTTTTCCTCCTATTCCACCTCCGCCTCTATTTGTAGGTGGTGGAACTGGAGGTGGAGCATTGGCATTACCACCACGTGTTCCTCCACCAAGCATCCCACCGATAGGACTCCCTCCTCCGCCACCAAGCATAGAGGAAAGAGCGCCTAGTCCGCCTAAACCACCGCCTCCTCCACCAGACCCGCCCCCTAACATACCGCTTAATTTACTCATTGTTCCTAGAGAGCTCATCAAACCGCCTCCTCCACCCCCGTTCCCTCCACCTAACATTTTTGACGCCATTCCCATCATGTTCATCATGGATCCGAGACCCCCACCACCACCCCCTCCAGCTGGTTGTCTATTTCCACCAGTGAGCATATTACCTAACAGTTGACCGACAAATTCGGAAGTCGTAGGTGGCTCAAAATTAGGAGCAAACTGGTTCATTGTTCTGTAAACATATCGAGGTGGCGGTAGCGGGGCGGTTGGAGCCTCGTCAAACTTTGGAGGTGAAATTATAACTCCTGGTTGGTCATCTGTCTCGGGAACGTTGCCACTTTTTCCATCTAGTTTGTCCACTTTCCTTATTCCTTGATGCAAAAGAACTTCATCTGCCGATTCAAATGGTCCATCAAATCCTTCAAACGTTTCAGCAATTGATTTGTCTAGATCGATAGAATCTGTGTCTTTCCCATTATTTACCGTATTGTTTTCTTTAGATGTATTCATATCTTCAAATGAAATCGTGTCTGATTTTACATCAATCCAGTATGTTTTGTAATCCTGGACTAGTGTTGCCCTGAAATAAAAACAGAAATAAAATTAAAATACAATAATAATAATAATACAATAATAATTAAAATACATTAACAGTATTAATAAAATACTAAATGCACAAAAAACTAAAGCTATGAATTTCTCAATAAAGCATTCAAAATCTGAGCATTCTTCAACACCTTCTCTTAACCTTCACAATCAAGAAATAGAATTTACAGACAATGAAAAAGTACTAGGAGTCTATGTTGACAAAAATCTAAAATGGAAAACACACATTCAAAAAATTATTAAAAAATGCAATTCACAGCTCTATTTGCTTCTTAGAATTAAACAATATCTTGATCTTCATGCTAGAAAACTTTTTCTTCAATGCATATATACTGCCACATTTGGACTACTGCCTGCACTATTTGGGGAAACTGCAGCAGTGATTTACTCTCACAAATAATCAAATTTCAAAAAAGAGCTGCTAGAATAATTTTTGACAAAAATTTTGATGCCCCATTCAAATGAACTATTTAAAGAACTAAATTGGATGTCCTTTGACCAAAGAATCAGATACAAAAAGGCAATTCTAATGTATAAGTCAATAAATGAACCATCCTTTTCCTAAGTATATGAAAAAATAAATTTCAAACAGTAAATGACAGACACAACTTTAATTTGAGATCTGTCCAAAATGAAAAACTAATTGTACCTAAACCAAAAAAACAGAGTGTTTTAGGAAAACACTTAATTACTCTGGGCCTACAATATGGAATGACATTCCAATACATGTTTAGAAAATTCTGAAACTTTGAAAAAATTTCAAGCCAACTATATTCATTGGCAATTTTCCATTTAAATTATATATGTCATTTTTCCATTTTTATTGTGTACATAGCTTTCTAAATATGATACCAGGATGACTAACTGTGTTGTTTTTTAACATTAGTTGTATTTTTCAATATTGAAGTTTTTGAAAATGCCACAAATTTTGAAAAAAAAAAATAAAAAATTAACAGTTTATTTCTTGAATGATGTTTTGTAAATGTTGACTGTATATAATTTATGTCACATTGTATTTATATGTTGTTATGTTACATTGTATGTATATGCTGAGGCCCACATGGAAGATCGGGAAACCGAATGCGCTAGCCTCATTAAATAAAGTCGTTACTTACTTACTTACTTACTTACTTAAATTACATGTAAATGAGAGATATGTAGTATAAGTAAGTATAAGTACAGCAAATGAGGGTTACATGTATAAAGAATGTATTATGTTTGTTAAGCCTAAACGAATAAAGCATTGTCATAAACAATTATAAAATACTGATATATTCCATATTCATATAAGACCAAGGATAAATTTTATTTTACAAGCGGAAAAATGAATTTCATCACCAGAAAAATCTGGAAAATTGAAACCGTACTTAAAAAGCCACACCGGAATTCTTCACATACCTTACAATAACACTTCCATCTTTCAAGCTGTTTGGGGCTTTCCACATCACATAAGTAGAAGTCAATTTTGATCCATCTGCAGACGTGGCGGTGTCGTTGTTAGAATAACATGTCTATAAAACAAACAGTCATTAGATAAAGCTTGTATAGGGTTAACATTAACTTTAAACATATATCCAATGTATAGAAATTTTTAGTAAAAAACACTGAGTTATCCATTACTGATAAAACATTTCGTGCCCAAGTAAGACTCGTACTAAGCATCACGGGTTGAGGTGTAATATTAGTATGCTAGTGATTTATATTAAGTTAAATATGTTCTCACATAAAGTTTTAGTGAAAAAAACCGAGTGCACACATTTCTAACCAGCAACTAGTCTAGTTAGATTAGAATAATAGATTATTTCAAGCAACAATAACAAAATGTTAACAATACATTTACAATAAACAGGTATGAGAAGGAAAATGGATTAGTGCTTATGAAGAATTATTAAATATTTTCTACAATATCTAAGTACCAGTACTACTGTACAATGATTCCCCTCTATTAAAACCACCAATGTATCTTAAAGTGTATTTGAAACTAGCATCTAGACCACACCTTTTTTTAACTGTTTCATGATTTAAAAAGAACCCCTGTCTTAAAAGGCAAAAGGAAACACTTTCAATGTGAAATCGGCGCATGTTAGTGATCCTATCATTCAAGGTGCAAATAAACCATTTTGTTTGTTGTTGTTTTCCCATCAGATAAAATTGAATTTACAAAATGTTGGTTCTTCAATCGATACCATGAATGTTAATATTTATATATTATTATGACTTACTTGTAAGTTAACGTTTGGTGTAGAAATGAACTCGCCCAGTATCGTGTCGTCTGCCCCCGGTTCAGCCGACAGTACTTGCATCATAAACCCCCGGAACGTTTGTCCATCTTGTGACTCGACTTTAACTGTGAAAGGAAAATGTGTATATTTGAATGAATAGTCGTTCAATTAGAAAAATAGAATTTCTTTACAAAGAAGTTAAAGTACTTATACGGTGAAATGTGTCCAAGAACATTATTTAGCCCACAACACTAAAATGTATCTCTTGCTTGCACTAAGCTGTAAGAACCGGAAGTGATTGGCCTTTGGCACCGGTATAGAAGCAGGCCAGCCTGTAAGTCCGTAGCTGTTTTTTTGTTGTACTGAAATCCCTTCAGCTATAAAATAGACTGTTTCAAAAGTCTATTGCATAAATTCTTCAAACTAGAATATTGTTTATATCTATAAAGTTTATCATGTTTAGGATGTAAAATAAGTTGTTTATGGTCATTTTAATGATTTTTTTGTTAAACCCTCCGAAAAAAATGAATAAATAATAATTTTTCATTTCAAATTTGGTCATAATTTATAACTTCTACTCCGATAATAATCATCATAATATTACCCCGAATATTTTTACACATGTAATATATGCATTTGTTCTTTAATACGGGAAGAGTGCCTCTTTAATTACGCTTTGGTTGGTTTAAAGAGAGTAAGCGATGCCTTGAAGTTCTATAATGCTGTTTTCTTTATATGCCATAGAAAACAAAGGTAAGGGAGGTAAATCAGGATACATTCGTTAATCGCCCATGATTGTGCATGATGGCACAGTTAACAGACCCATAGATTTAGAGAAAAACTCAAGTGTAAAAAAAAGGCACATTGAGGGTTTGTACAATGTAGTTATAAAATACTTATAATATTAAAATGAAATATAAAATAAAAAAAGGATATAGAAATTATTAGTTAAAAAAAGAATTCACCAAAAACGAAATAACTACGCTTTTCGGTGAAATAACATGATGTTTACAAAAAGTTCAACACGCCTCGGGCCCAACTTCCGCGTTTTGAAGTAGAAAATAAATCATCTGAATTAACGGTATTCTTCAATTAGACCATTTATACATGTAATTGCTGTAAAATTAACATGTCCTTCATTTTGTCCTTAGAATATATTTTATTTTTTAAAGTTATGTAAGCTACGAGTTAAAACTGTGACTTAAGATACCGGCAGTTTTGGTTTCAGGTGAAAACAACTTTTATAACAATGCTGAAAACTACATTAAAAGTAATATATAAATTAATATCAAAGACACTATTTTATTGAAAACCAGGGCGTTTGTTTATTTCATCATAGTTCAGAGGCTTTTTGAACCGTGTCTCGTATCAGTTGAGAAAAGAAAAGCAATTAAAATAGAAAACGTCGATGACACCCATTATTGTCATTACAATATGACGATAGTAGTGAAGGTAATGATGATAATAATGATAATTATGGTGATAATTATGAGAATTATGTTGAGGATGGTCAAAATTATTGTGTTGATGATTATGATGATGGTTATGATGATGATGATGATAATGATGATGATGACAAAATTGATGATGAAGATCCATGAGTTTATTTATCAGATGCGCTAAAAATAAATTATTATTCTTAAATTCTCTATTGTGTTAAAGATGTATGCAGGGCACTAGCTGGAGCCTCCGTTGTCGAGTGGTTAATGTCGTTGTCTTGAAACCATTTGCCCCTCACCGCTGCAGGTCAGAATCCCGTCAGAGACTATAAAGGAGGATATCAAGCTAGCTTACCAGAAATGCTTGAAATTCGCGATATGACAGAAACAGTGTTGGTATGACGAATCGCCCATCACACAAAAAGTGTTGTTTTATGACTGATAAAAATGAATCATTATAAAAGTGTAATTTTGTAACCTAAATGCTCTCACATTTATACTGTTACTTTACTTTTTATGTCAATATGCATGATATGATTGGTTGGTACGTAAGTTTATAGATCGATAAAAGACAAAATGGATCCTTCTTTCATTTCATCTTTTGCTGCTTGAATGTAATTTTAACCTTCTTAAAATGTTACTGGCCATCTTTAAGTGGCAAATTTCTAAAAGTTGGAACAAAAAATTGCTATTGCTTTTGCGAGATTCTTATTGTTACATATCATGTAAGCGCTCATATAGCTTTGTAAGACACGGAAAGTGGCGGAATATGCCGAAAGTTTACGATCTTGTAAAAGCTTAATTAATGCTAATTTTCAAGACGCTTACAATAAAAACTGTTATGTGTGACTTGAAAGAATAAAAACTCTTAGTTACATAGAGAAAACTATTTATTTCAACATAGAAAAAATTATGGCCAGTGAAAACTATCTAGAGCGGAAAGGCTAAAATATAAACACGATTTTACGACGTATATTTAACAAATGTATCATAATTGACTGTATGTCCAAAGTACCAAACTTATGATGAAATATATAGAAAATACAAAAAAGCAACAAAATAAAACAAAACAAAACAACAAACTTATACAATTGTGAGACTAACCATGTAAAACCTTGTTAGTTTCAGTCACTTCCGGTACGGCTGTTACCGTAAATGGACTGCGTGTCGTCTGCGCCGGAACATTTCTCCGCGCCATGAGAACTGGAATTTGTCTGTTACACAGAAATTTCATTGGTCTTTGATTTACAGGCACATTTTGCGGCCTCGTATTTCTATTGTTTACATTTTGAATAGTGTTTTGTAAATTAGCGTTATCTAGTATATCCGGCGGCTCTTTAACGTTGAGGATTAAAGGCCCAGTTTGCGAATCGATCTTCTGTGAATATATTCCGGAAATATGAATAATTTGTATTAAAGTCACAACAAATATAATATTTACACATTTTGTTATCCAAGATTGTCTACTTCGCGCCATTTTTTTATTGTTTCACACACAATTATATTAAGTATACTTTTTTACACTTCATAAAAAAAGTTTAAAAGAGGCCAGCCCTTTTCCCGAAAAAAAGATTACATCCGAAAAGTTTCACTTTAAAAATATTTTCTGACTTTTTATCAATATTATAAAGATATTAGTAACAGCCAGTCAAATGCACCGTTATCACCACAACCCCGTCATAGCTTCCGTCAACGTTGTGCCCGAGGGGTTGACGTTATTTCAATAAAAATTTTTATAACGTTTTAACAAGTTCACATCTTGAATAAATTTCGTCCTTTTTTCAAATATTATTAAATATTTTGTTCCAATTTTCATTAATTTTATTCTTATTTAATGTGTACGATTCCGACTACTTTATACCACTGAAAATTTTTCTTAATTCAAAAGTAAATAATTGAAATAGAAAAAAAATCTTCTACAAAATCAATATTCATTGACGTTCGATTTTTGCTAAGTGATTGATTGCTAGTTAACTATATTGACATGGGGATATTAAAATTAAATTTCCTGTTTGTGATACACCTTTGATACATTTGTCAGATTTTATTAGGTGCATTTAACCAATCAGAAACTTTATTGTTTCTATATTATTTAATTACTTTGTCGCTAAAGTTGCTATTATTTACATACATATCAAAGTATGAGTATAAGTCATGCATATGCTATTTTACTTATTCAAGTACTAAAGAACGATATTTGAAAGAAGTATCATAATAAGAAAATATATTTACGTTTGAACAGTCGTCACATACAAACAAATAAATAAGCGAACGAACGAACATTTTGAAAGAACCACCAGTCAATCGCAAGTTTGCACAAACTTGCAAAGAAGTACACATTACCATCGATCTTCTATAAGCTATCAGACACAAAGCTAAAAAAGCAATGGTCATCTTTTAGCTGGCAAGCATCTGAATAACCTATCATCTGTGAGGTAGCAGACATTTAGAAAAAAACACCAGTCATTTGTAAAAAAAGTAGGCAGTGGGATATTTTATGCTAGAAGACACATGGAAATACCTTGTTGTTCTTTGTAAGCTAGTAAACACATTGAAAATGTCCAGCGGCTAACTTAAAAGCTAGCAGACCTTTGGATAGAATCCCAGCGGCTATTATATCTATAAGCTAGAAGAATGGAAATAGAGAGCGGTTTTGTGTAAGCTAGCAGCCACATGGAAAGAGATAACTTTATGCTAGAAGACACTAAGAAAGACCCAGTGTCTATCTTTAACCCAGTAGACCTGGAAGACCCAAAGGTTACATGTACATGTATGCTAGTAAACACATTGGCTAACTTTAGCAGACCTTTGGATAGGGTCCCAGTGGCTATATACGTATAAGCTAGCAGAGCTCGGAAAGAACCGTCGACTATCTGTAAGCCTGCAAACGCTTGGAAAAACAACATACACCTGAAAGCTAGCAGACAATAATTGAATAAACTACCATCTCAAGCTAGTGTACACTTGAATACAATCAACAACTTTCCATGTTAACGGAGCTCCAGTGAGGTCAAAAAGTTTTAAAACCCAATCTTACATTATAGGTCAAGATGTAACTAAGAATGAAAAATAAATATTCTAAAGGTAATAAAGAACTATAAAAATGCGAAATTTTACCACATAAATATAAAATTGTACAATATTAATGAGATATGTGAAGTTGGCGGCCTGGCGACTCGGCGGCCTAGCGGCGTGAAGTTGGCGGTTTAACGACCTGGCGGTCTGACCTTAAAATGTTGTAGAAGTTTGTCTAAAGACATTTCTAGTCATTTAAATTATATATAAAGAGAAAAACTCACTTTGAGATAACTTTTTGATTTTTTTAGCATTTTTTGGCTGGCAGCCTAAAATTTTAATGTCGTAGAAGTTTGTCGAAGAAATCAAAACGACTCTTAATTAAGTTTTAAAGACATATCTAGTCATTTAGAATATATATATAAAGTGCCATTGTTGAACAGGTTACATTAAAGTCAAGCCTGGAATATTATGAGTATGTTTCCATTTTCATTTTATGCTTGTAATAATCTGACTACATGTATATACAGATGTCTTCAAAGTGCAACAAACAATCAATCGTACTTTTAAAGGCACACATGCCTCTTTCAGAATTATAAATGATAGCTAATATCTAGGAACAATCGCTTATTTTTTTCAATCCGCAACACCTTTGCTGTTTCTTGAAAAGACATTCATAAAGAGCGGTGAAACTATTTCAAAAAAAAGAAAAAGAATGAAAAAGCAAAATTATTGATCCCGCAGTTGCGCATTTATTTTTATTAGTCGTCATGTAAACTTTGCTTCTGCAATAACATTCAATCGCACCTACTCGGCCCTTTCCACCAGTATTTGGATATGGATATTATTATAGATGATAGACGAGGCAGTTCCGAATGAAGTAATATTGTCTTTAGCACTTAGAGGAACATACTATAGTCAGAAAAGGTGTTTTTTGTTAGTGCAAGTAGCGGACTTATAAGACTAATAAATATGTGCTAGTAGCAGCTAACAAAACAGGATCGGGTGAGGATTCAACGATATATGAAACTGGGAATGATTTTTTTTAAAAATGGAGAAGATGTGAAAGTGTGTTGTAATTTTAGCAATGCACATGGTTATGATTTGATCGAATGATTGATATTGTGTTAAATAAAGGCCTTATGTGCTTCCAGCACGAAGAGGACTAAGTAAATATTGTGTTAGAATTAAGACCTCATTAGTTGTCATTATTCATTACTATAAATCTGTTGAGACTGGAATGTGTATCAGTCTGTGACATTTAAGTATGGTAACCCTGTCCACGGTTACCTTCATAAATTCTCGACAAGAGGCCTGCAATCGCTGTGTTTGGGTAATTCAATCATTGTTTACCATCATAAATATTCCAGGAATCAGTCTGTTTAATTCTGTTATGGTAACTTGGTCAACACTTGTCATCAGTTTTGTAGATGGCTTATGTTTATCAGTTAACACTATGGTAACCTCCAAATATGGTAGAGATAAGGTATTTCTTATAAATACTGGTACAATATTTTCTAAGGGCATTCGAGAGTCAGTGTGGAGACTAAGAGTTTAGCATGTTTTTTATTTCGGGTCTAATAATAGAATTATTCAGTGACTTGTAAACCATGTGTGAGAAAGAGAAACACTGTAAATTTAAAAAGATGTTAGATATGAAACTTTGAAATACTATGCATATCAATAAACAATGTCAGAATATTGAGAACAGTTATTTGTGTGTTTTATTATATAAGGCATTTTAATAGTAATTATGAGTGAGAATCGTATCTACATTTATTACAGCGGAGTAGTAATTTTAACAATGTTATAATTGGAGATTTATGATAATTTATAATAAGACAAAAGTTACTAATATTGGAAGTATTGTCCGAAAACAAGATATGTACCAAACGCAAAACGTTAAACGCCATTTGATAATTATTGTATTGTTACAAAAAAGAAAGATGTACTTATATTTTGGATTTCGTTGATAGATTTTACTATAGAACGAAACACACTCAGCGCTTCCACAGTTCTTGAGAATCGGACCTGGCAAAATTCACGCTAATTAAACCTAGATGATAGCTTTAATTACATCATGAGATTTCAATATAAGATGAGAGTTGAGTTAATTTATTATGCAAATTTTGTTTTCAATAGAATATATATAAGCTTATCAATGACATATTTTGAATATACGTCAATCCAATTGTCCACTTAATCTATGTCATCAAGTTATACTGTACAGTCAAACTGTAATGAAATCATTTACTATTAGTAATAAAGATTTTGACAGGTTATATGGCCCTATATAAACGGCTGTTTGAAAATATAACCCGAGCCGCTAGGCGATGGTTATATTACAAACAACCGTTTATATACGGACATATAACCTGTCAGGAATATTTATAACGAATTTATAATACAGTTAACTTCTTTTTTTTTGGAAAAAAAGTGGGATTTCTTAGAAAGTTTGATAAAGTGTAATAAATCCACGTATTTTCACGGGAGTCTGGAATAGGGTTAAAATTGACATTTTTCCTTGTAAAAAAGCATTGTACTGATGATAGTACATGAACATTAAGTCATTGTGTTACTCTATTGTGTTTAAACATCTATATACAGATTTATAATCAAAGAAGTACTCGTCTTTGAGCACCTTATCGATGTTTTTTGTAGGTTTAATGTCTCCAAAAAAAATGTCGTTAGAGTGAGAGAGAGAGAGAGAGAGAGAGAGAGAGAGAGAGAGAGAGAGAGAGAGAGAGAGGGAGAGAGAGAGAGAGAGAGAGAGAGAGAGAGAGAGAGAGAGAGAGAGAGAGAGAGGCAAATGCTCTCATTTATTGTAATGAAATAATTCGACCATAGAACTAACTATTCACGAGTGAAAAAACACGTACATTTGTCTGTCATATTTTCCGTTAGTGTGTGTGTTTGTTTCAAAAAATGGTCCAGTCCCTGTACACTAGCAAGATTTGGCAAAACTAATATTATATTTTATGGGCATCTAGTCATATAAACCACGATAAGAACATTAACAATTTCCCCATTTGTATTGCAACAACTCAACGATTTAGGGTTGTACCGCTCCCCGAAGGCGAAGGGAGATGGGAAAAACCCCGAAATTCGTTAGGGGCCCCATCCAAAATTATAAACGAATCTTAAGCGCGGTTAATACGAATAAGAAAACCCAAAGTACAAAACGATAAAAAACTGGAAATTATGAAGACAAAAACGCGGAAGAACATTGACGAAACTACGATCACTAAGATGCAAAGATCAGATGATGAAAGTCGATAATGTTTTAGTCATTTCTGAGTATATTTGCAATCGTACTTTCGTATATTCGTATATTCGCCTTCCGGTATGCACGCGCAAAAATGTCGACAACAAGAAATGCACGCAGAAACAAAAACCAAGAAGATAAGTAGAGAAAGCGTGGAAACATGAATTCACGAAAGTACGTGAACAAAAATGCAAAACATTTTCGCTTTCAATTTTTGTTATTTGATGTTTTCGCTAAAAGAGTCCTCGCACGTTCCTTATCGTACTGTCGCGTTTTCGTAATCGCGTACGTTTCGTGTTTTCGCGATTTCGTCTTTGTACTGTAGCGTCAGAACACCGTATGGCGTAGGTAATAGTCTACTTATTGAAAAACTAAAAATAACTTAATACATTTGTATATCTTAATATATTCAAATTGAACCATTTGTCTGAAGAATTAATGGAGCCCATCACCTGGTATCCAACAAAAAAGCTCTTATACTTTCATTATTTCCTTCTTGTTTCTAAGCAGTTTGAAAAAGATAAATTATCCCGTTCTTTTGTGTTCAAACCTATCAATACATTTAATACTTTTATCAAAACTTCCTTCATTACATGATTCATTTAAATTAATAATGATTTATATAAATGCTGGATGGGAAAATTCTATCTTCTTTACTGTATTTATATATGTAAAAAATACATAAAAATAATTTTAAACCTCTTGCTAAATTAAAAATGTTTTTTCTAATCTTAAACAGTTTTAAATAAATTCCAAAAATCTAAGCCATAATGAATTTAAAGCAAAACATTTCTCCCAACAAAACGTTGTTATACCTTTAAAACAATTTGTCGTAAGTTTATGAAGCAGGTGGCATTTATTCATAAGTTGAGCTTTGAACGAAATTCTTTCTTGTTTGCCAGAAGGTGTAACAAAATAACACATACCAAAATAATAATTCATTAGCCCTGTTGTCCATTTACTTGAGACTGCATGAAATGAGCCGCGTCATGACAAAACCAACATTGTGCGTTTGCGACCAGCATGGATACAGACCAGCCTTCGCAATCCCCAGTCTGACAGGACTCCATATGTTTTCGGCTTCATTTCTTCTAACTTGTTTATGAGTTTTGGATAAGCGAACAGCATGGGATCTTTTGATCAGACTGGCCGGATGCGCAATAGGCTTATCTGGATCCATATGGGTCGCCAAAAACAATTTTAATGTTGGTTTTGTCAGAACGCGCGGCCTCAAAATGGTGAATAAAAAAAGGGTGCTTCATAACAATCATTCGCCTGTTTTTTAGTATATACAGTAAAACATCACAGAGTGGGCCCTTTGTAATCAAACCAACAATTTTTATCTTGTCCTGAAAAGGTCGGTGCGTCGTTATATTTTACCACACAAATTTAGCCCAACAATGGGTTATTTCAAATTGAATTATTATTTATTAAAATTTGGCAGACACAAAATACATTGAGAGGTTTCCAATTATCCTCTGTTTCTATTATTCTAACTTTACACTTTATTTAGAGAGTAAAACACAACTGTCTTAAAATTGCATTCAAGAATCCAAATCATTCCTTTTTATCTAAACAGAGACCAAAGAAATAAGACTTTTAAAGTTAAAGAAAAGCCCATGATTTAAAATCCAGCGAAATAAACGACCGCCTTCATAGAGAATGTAGTTTTTACAGGCAAAACGAAAGACGAGCCATTAACATCTTTCAAATGTCCATATAAAGTGCGCTGCTCTAAAGGGGGGTTTTTTTACTTGTTCAAACCTCGTATCGTAAAGTTGTTACTTTAGGGCAAATTCACCACGTGCGGGGGAAACGGCTCCACAATTAGTTTGTATTATCTCCACTTCCTAAAAAACCACCCTTCCATGTGGGTAAGACGAATGTCTTCCCTCGTCCCCCAAAAAAACCGGTAAAATTGACCAGGTTTTTATCATTGACTGGAAATTTCAAAATCAAAGGAATTTTTTCCTGGGCAATGAAACTTGAACCCAAATTTTTCAATCTTGCATTTGAGATGTCGGAGTTGAAACAAAATGACTATATAAATTTTCCTATTGCAATATATCCCCAGTGGGCCGCCCTTTTGTTGTTTCCCAACAAACATATAAAGTTGACCATAACCCAGTTTTTGAAACCGAGCCTTTGGTTTGAAACCCGTGCAGTAAAAATGTTCTAAGTCAAGTCCTTCTGTCAATTCTGTTTGGCCCAAAAATCATCCCTTTTGGCAGAGGTACCAGCTTTTATGACAGTTTAAGTATCCTTATCGTGACCAAGAAAAGGGTACCCCATTTCCCTCGAAAAAGGAAGCTGAATTCCCGAAAGCAATGCAATGCCCGGCACTTATCCTGAAAAAAAAAAGAAACAAGAAGAAGAATCAAGAATTCTCTTAATTGCAAAAGATAATCGGCCGTGGAGTCAAACCGTTGCTGGGTACCAGTCCGGCAAATACTGGGATGGAGTGGACATTGCCCTTAAATTTACCAGAAGTGATGACGAAAATTTGAACAGACGCCAAACGGATAATCGCTCCGTCCCCTAACGTGGTAACAAAATCGTCGACAAACATAACACATCTTTTCACTTCCCCTCAGTACGTGTACATCGTTGAGAAAGCGGAAGACTTGCGACGGCGTAAATAACCGAAACTTGTATACGTATATTGCGGAGTGGCCATAAAAAGTAGGCAGTCACGACAAGGAATTTGTGCTACGGTGCGTGAGTCCTTAGCGCAGAGCTCGAGATCGACGGTTTTAAAGGCAGTCCCTTTGCCACCGTACAATGACCTTACTCTTGGCTAAAATCCGTGGTAATTTATTCAGGTTAATAACCTATATGCAAAGAGCAGATACATGTACAAATATGGAATACATGAAGCGGAGGGATACATTTAAGTACTTAACTTTTCTTAGAAAGGCCAAAGCACCCGCATCGTTAATTCTTTCTTTGCCAAAAATCTGGAAGCCCCAACGAAGAAGGTAGTTGTACTGACGCTATGTTTAAAAACTTATAGTTTAAATCTTTTTACATAATTAAAATGCAATCTGGAAGCCAACGAAGAAGATTTCGTACTGAGTCAAAATGCCGAAACGAAAAGCAAATTCATTGCCAGCACAAGTAAAGGCTGTGAGAAGTGCCCGGTTACACACTCAGAGACCACTTGGCAGACCGGATATAGTTCGCTGCTTCCAAGTCACAGTCAGTTCTACCGGAGGTGGAAACACAATGTCAAGGCACCGTATTAGAAGACCAACAGCAGCATGATAATGGTAATACTGTTGTTTTTTTTCCTTCAAACATTGTCAAGTCTTGTGGTACTAATATGTTAGCCGCTAACGTTAAAGAAAGTATAAAGGGAAAAATATGGAATAATCAATTCATTGAGCTGCATGACCTGCTGCAAAATAATATTAAACCAGAACAGAAATTACATGTAGTCAATGCTGAAATAATCATTTCGGAGAAAAGTAAACACTCCGATAAGACACTAGAAAAGGATCGAAATCTTGGTCGGATGCATTTGTTATTTTTATTTACATATACATACAGAAATTTCCTAATGAAATACATAACCTTCTGCAGTATTTAGCCAATATAAGGCTTGCTGCCTCACAAGACACGACGGTTGGGCAAATTATGACAGACAATTTTCGTTTAAAGAAATCTATACATGATGGTAATTGGATGGCATTCCATAGACCCGGAGCTTTGGCTCCTATCCATGAAACCGCTACAACATAGGGTAGTAACGACAATAATGTAAATGCAAAAAAGTGTTTTCAGTACAATAATTTTGGAACTTGCACAAGACCTAAATGTCAATTGACAGCCATACCTGCTTAAGGTGTCAAGCATGCAGCGGCCATGATAACGTGCCCGTCCAGTTCAGCGGTTTTTTACCGTTGCAAAGGCAGCGGTTTAACCGTTGCAAAGGTTCATAAACGCCTGTTAATTTTTCGGGTGGCCTAATCGTCCAGTCAGGACCCCCATATCTGGTGTTCATTTCAGGAGCCAGTTATCACCAAGAACATATTATACCGGGAAACCAAGGCCCTGGAAGGTTTATGGGACCTAGGCAAAACCCCAATCAACGTTAATAATGTAAAGCACGAAACTTGCAAAAATATCCTAATCAGTCTGATGCTTCGTTTCCTTCTAAATGGTTTTCAATATGGTTTTAATTTGGTATTATAAAGGTCCAGGATTCCTATATTCTCAACAAACTTAACTTCAGTTAAACATGATCTTAGACGATGCTAAAACTTTAACTTCACGAATATCGCAAACTTGGTAGAATCACAGGTCCATTACGTTACCTCCTTTACCTAATCTTAGGATAAATCCTGTCGGTCTCGTCCCAAAGCGGACCGGTGGATTTCGTCTGATTACAAATTTGTCATTTCCGGCTGGTATCAGCGTGAATGATTACATTGACCCAGATTATAAGCACGTGACATATTCTTCGTTTGATAATGCTGTAAATATGGTTCAAAAACTTGGAAAATGTGCATTTATGGCGAAAGCCGATATTTCGTCAGCATTTAATTTGTGCCCAATTTGGCCAGGCGATTTTGATTTGCTTGGCATTAAATCAGATGAAGGGTATTGGATACAAAAAACATTACCAATGGGAGCGTCTTGTTCCTGTTTCATTTTCGAAAAATTTTCAACTTTTATTGAGTGGTTGGCCAAAAAGGAAGCAAAGTCTGATTATTATGATCATCTTTTAGATGATTTCATTATGATGCATAATTCGTTCGATAACTGTCAGTTTCTCATGTTAAATTTTTTAGAAGTATGTGCACGCCTTAATGTTCCATTAAGCAAAGACAAATGGGAGGGTCCAGTAAAAATTATTACGTATTTGGGTTTGGAGATTGACGCGTGCGAACAAATGATACGCGTACCGCAGGAAAAAATTGATAAAGCAAAATCGGCATTATTATCTTTGATTGAAAGTAAAAAGGTTACGCTGCAACGGCTGCAAGCGCTTACCGGTTTGTTAAACTTTTTAGCTAAAGCGTTACCGTCTTGGACAGCATTTATTCGCAGGTTCTATGATAGAATGTCGAAAGTGAAAAAATCATTTCACTTTGTTAGGGTCTCTAAGGATATGAGAGACGACGCTTATACTTGGTTACAATTTCTTGAAGAGTTTAACGGTACACGAATATTTAATGAGTCCGAATGGTTTGAAAATGACGTTCTTGAGTTATATACGGACGCTGCTGGAAACAAAAATATGGGATGCGGTTGTTATTTCAATGGCTCATGGTCTGTATTTAAATGGCCCCAAACCTGGGAGGAAAACATATTTAAAGACATTACATATTTAGAACTTATTCCAATCCTTCTAGCGTTACATATCTGGGGTCGGTTGCTAGAAAGGAAAAAGATAATATTAAGGACTGATAACGCTGCCCTTGTTGATATTCTGAATAAAAAATCATCAAGGAACAAGAATGTCATGGTACTCATACGTTCTTTAGTCTTGATAACTCTCAAGAGAAATATTCAAGTAAAAGCAAAGCACATTCATGGTAAACGTAACAAAATTTGTGACTCTATTAGTCGTTTTCAGTGGCAAAGACTTCACAGACTTCTGCCGGACTCCGCGTCAAGGACGCCATGCTTGATCCCGGACTCTTTCCTTCAGACATTGCGCTTGAACGTGAAGTAGATAGGCTTATATATGCATCTTTGGCAGACAGCACTCGCAAGTCTTACCATTCAGCCGTATCGGCGTTTGAAGCTTTTTGCATAAATCTTGGTTTAAAACACATTTGGCCACCAAACGTTGACGTAATATGTCAATATGTAGCATTCATGTCTTTAAGACAATTTTCGTTCTCACATGTGAATATCCACTTATCGGCTATTAGTTATATCAACAAAATAAGTGGTTCTGTTGACAATACAAAACAATTTATCGTAAGAAAAATGGTCGAAGGTTTGCGACGAGTTAAGAGAAAAAACGATACAAGAGACCCAGTCACACACGATATCCTTGAGAAAATCATTCAAGCATTACCATTAATTTGTAGGTCTAAGTTTGAGTCTCTATTATTTGCAGCAGCATATTCATTAGCATTTATAGCGCTGCTCAGAGTAAGTGAGTTTACTCTCCCAGGCAAGAGATCAAAAAAGCCGGTGCTTCAGTTCGAGGATGTAACAATCTCGGATACTTGTTTACGGTTGATAATAAAATCTTCAAAAACTGATCAAAGGTGTAATGGTTGTTCTATCGCTATTCCAATAGATCCCCAGAATAGATTCCGTGTAAAGCATATAAGGGCATATATATATTACCGTCAAACTTATGGGTGTCCACTGTTCTGTCATTTTGATGGTTCCCCATTAACCAGTTTTCAGTTCAATGCAGTATTAAGAAAGACTTTGAGTTTTATCGGTCTTGGTACAAAGACTCTCAAGTCACATTCCTTCAGGATTGGCGGGGCCTCAAAAATGTTCAAAGACGGGTGTTCAATCAATGAAATCAAAATAAGAGGTAGATGGCGTTCAGGTGCTTATAAAACATATATCCGCTAATCCATGCTGTCGCGAATGCTTTGTAAATTCTGATTTATGATGTGTTATATCAGTGTGGGTTTTATTTTGAAAATTTTCTTTTTTAATTATCCCACCATTCTTATTGACTGATTTATTATAAAAGGTTTAACTGTACCTCCATCGTGCTCTGTCACTTGCATGCACATATCATTTATTTTTTTATAAGCATTCACATATGTATAAAAATGTTTAAATTGAATACAATTATCAAAAACGTATATGTATATATATTATATACATTAACTGAAACAATGATAAATATAGATATAAGATTTATGTTGTGTATATACGTTGGTACATGATGTTTACCAAGTTTGTTCGTTTATTTGTTCGTGTCTAAAGGATCTGCCAAATGACCTTGTTATGGTCCGGCGATCTGTTTTAAGTTTAATTTGCAATAACAGTGATGCCCAGCGGTTTTGGCTTCGTTACCGAGTCAATTTCGCAATTTTTAAAATCTGGATGGAATATGATTGCATCTTTTAGCTATTAATTACTTACTGTCTGTTCCCGATATGATATTTAAAGTATAGGCAAGATTTTAGACCAATTCATTGTTATCCAATTTGGAAGCAACCCTTTAGTCGGTGAGTTTATTATCAAATTTAATAATACTGATATAACATGGATACAACCGTTTTCTCACAGTAGTTAAGACCCCAAAATAACAAAATTATTTACTAGTTATTAATCCTTCAGCTTTACAGCCCTAGGGAATTCATCTATAACAATGGTGTGATTTCAGGTAACACATATAACAACATATTTCATGTATGGGTGTGTGGTTCGTCGCTGGTCACTGGGGCATCGAATCGGGCCTCGGAACGCCCTGACGGACAAAACATTGGGATGGAGAATTTATGGGTGAAGGTTACATGGTTAGGTGGTTAGGTATGGGCGGGATGAGGGTACACCATTTAAAGGAAACGGTAAGTTACCATCTTCAGTTTAATCCGAAGCCTGATATGCTGATCATTCATTGTGGGGGAAATGACATAAGGTGCCAAGATAGACCCGGCCTAGAACTCAGTTGGAAACTTAAAAAATGTATTTTTGACGGTTATGACGATTACGACCTAAACGGTGACATTGAAAGTATCCAACAAAAGTTGCCAAATTGTAGAATGATATATTCACAAATTTTACCACGTTTAACATGGCGTTACTATGCAAATCATCGGGAAATAGCCAATCGAATTAGAAAAAGGGTGAACAGTTGTTTTTGGAGCTTATACTGTTAAGAAAGGTGGGGGTTACATTAAATATCCAAACATAACCGAAGACCCTAGGTTTTTTTCTGACGGCACGCACCTTAGCTCTTTAGGTTATGACATCATGCTAAATACAATTGGGTCAGCAATATATTCATTCAAATGTTTAGGAAATTCTACATATCCTGTTTCATAATAAGTGCATAACATAGCACATATGTTGTTTTCTTTGTTTACAAACTATATCATATGTACGACTTCTTTGTGCGAACATTGTCATGGCTGGAAATTCATCCTATACCGCTTTGGCGGAAGGGTCGGTATAGACCCTTTTTGGCATTTTTATAGCATGAATTCCAGATTTTTGCTGCCGTAATCGGAGCGAAAACGCAAAATATACTACATAAAGATAATAAATATTCAATTAGCATTTCAAATTTTCATCTTTGAATATGATACTCAGCTATGACAATGTTTTCGCAAAAAACTTAATAAAATAAATTTAGTAAAATTTTAATCGGTGTTGAGTCTTTGTCGATGGGTAATTTATTCAGGTTAATAACCTATATTATTAACATTATTACACATCGCAAAGATCAGATACATGTACAAATATGGAATACATGAAGCGGAGGGATACATTAAGTACTACTTTTCTTAGAAAAGCGCAGCACCGATCGTTATTCTTTCTTTGCAATCTGGAAGCCAACGAAGAAGGTAGTTGTACTGAGGCTATGTTTAAAAACTTAAAGTTTAAATCTTTTTACATAATTAAAATGCTTTTAACCCACCTCCCACCTCAGTTTTTTCGCTGTCCGTTTCTGTTGTATAATTTCAGGAAGAGACTAGCAGACGATCGTCATAGCGAGTATATAGGCAGATAGGGAGACCAGTCCAGCACGTGTGCAATGATATATATTTCAAATGGACTACGAGAAGATACTTAAAACTCTTTAAAAGTGTTCAAAGACTCTAATTTTGCTACAGTCACCTGGGCAATAGCTTTTTAAGTCTGCCGCGTTTTCAAGTTGTTGCTATCAGTGTAACTTGTTGCATTTTTATAGCATGAATTCCAGATTTTTGCTGCCGTAATCGGAGCGAAAACGCAAAATATACTACATAAAGATAATAAATATTCAATTAGCATTTCAAATTTTCATCTTTGAATATGATACTCAGCTATGACAATGTTTTCGCCAAAAACTTAATAAAATAAATTTAGTAAAATTTTAATCGGTGTTGAGTCTTTGTCGATGGGTAATTGCAATGAGGTAAACTATCAATACTTTGTGCTTCAAAATTAACCCTGGTGACATGTATGGGGTCCGTAATCGACAGCGAACGCTGCTTTTGTGTCCTTGCGCAGATCCTAATTAAACATAGACTTGATAAAAAAAAACATTACGCATTTGCTTCACGATATGTTTCTTAGGGTAGAACTAGCAAAATAGTGGTCAAAATTATGTCAAACAGCACAAAACGAAGATGTAAATGTATATATATTTTTTAAATCCGTTGGTCGCCTCTAAAATAAAAATGTGTTAATCGCCGTAAAGCTCTATATTGAAGAAATCCTACGGTCGAAAAAGAAAGATACCCGGATGCGGTACGACGAGTGTTCAAATGTGAATGCACCAAGAACGTTATCTTGTTTATATGGTGGCTGATTTGGAACGCTTTTGTGCGTCGTGTTGTCGCTAGCGACAGAAAGACAATGGGCCGAACAGCGCGTTGTCGGGTTTTCGTTTTGTCGTCCTGTCGATAACGATGCACGCCAAACGTTTTTAAATACATAAACTTAACGACAGGGCGACATCGCGACAAAGCGCTGCACGACAACGCGCCGTTTGGCGTGCTTCGCTAGCGACAGGACAATAAGACGACAGTGCGTCGACGGCACGTTTCGTAAGCAACAAGACGCAAAAGGCGATAACGATATTGGTTGTGTTGTCGCTATCGACAACGCAACACGCAAAGTGTACCAAATCAACAAACATATCTTTAATATTGCGAAAACATGTGGAAATTTAGGTAATTGGGTAGATACACATTCTAGCATTACATTTATACCACATTCATTAAAATCTGTTCACTTAAGCTGTGTTTGTAGCTCGCTATACATTGTCTACTTGTATACTGTAAACAAAACAAAACTATTTGGTATGCCATTGAGATACGGTCTTATATTATATCCTTTGGCATAGGTGTAAAGAAATTTTTGATGAAATCTGTTCTGTAAATGGACATAATGAAATGTCTTTTTTCATCAGTTATTAGTTGGTTAAATAAATTCAAACGCAAGTTAATTTCGACAGAAGATACACGCCATGCCCGTCGGCCTTAAATAGCAACATCTGTAAAGATGGTTACTAAAGTGAAAGAAATTGTTAATACCGATGCAAGTTACACTAGGAAAATTGCCAGTACCGTTGGCATTTCATTAAGAGCAGCTTTTGATTTGAAAATCAGACAGATTTGTGCTTGATGGTTTTCGCATTTACAAATGAGCAGAAAAAAACTCGCATACAATTCCCTGAGATGTTGCTGAAACAGCATCCAAATTAAAATTTATGTTTTCTTTTTGCAAATGTCACTGGCTACTAAACATGGTTTATTTTTTTATGAGCCAAAACGAAAACACAAAAACAAGATTTTGGCTACAAAGTGGCAAAAGACAGACCATATATGGCAAATAAAAAGAACTGTCAAAATAAAGACGATAATGTGCAAAACTCGGGTTCCTTTCTATTGTTAAAAAAAACACATACCATTCAGGTCGAATATTTGTTCAGCACAAATAGCTCAGGTCTACAATATTCAAGTCTCTTCATCCGACTGAAACTTTGTATATCTATTGGAGGTGAATACTTCAAGGGAATAGAATAAAAAAAACAGTAAA